TGCCACAACACCAGTCTGTCAGTCAAACGTCAAGGTTTTTCCTCCATCTCTTTTTTTTCCTTTACCTTGCTGCCTGGTGAGCCTTACGCTCAGCCAAAGGTAGCTATTGGCTGATCCAACAGATTGGGAAAGAGGAACAATTAAAGCTTCCTACTACCTTCCTGTGGGACCAGCCTCCAGAGGTTGCTTTATCCAAGCTCCCTTTAAGGGAGAAAGGAAATAAAAGGGTGAAACCCTTTAGGTTCCAGCAGGCTTTCCTTCTACTAAGTTCCTGAAGTGTCTCAGATATTGCTTGTTGTTCCTACCAATCTTCAGGTCTACAGAGTCTATTAAAAAAATTACATGCTGAATAACATATAAATATCATTTAAATACTTGATTTAAAAAAATTCCAAAACAGAAAGAAATGACATTAAAAAAAAGAAAGAAATGGGAGCTGTTCCAGAGTTATTGGTATTGCTTAAATTAACTACACAATGCATAAAGAAGTAGTGTTGGATCTTCATTACCTTCTACTTTACAAAGCTCATGTTACCTGAGACCAGCCATTGACCATACTTGCTGGGAATCCTGGAAGAGTCAAATACATATAAAGAAATTTCAGTGGGGAACTGCAAGCAAGGAGACCTATGAATCTTTCTGAGCTAGAAGACTTCTGCAAGGAAGAGTGGGGAAAAAATCCCAAAACTAAAATAGAAAGTTTTCTTAAAGCCGGCTACAGGAAATGTTTAGAAGCAGTTATTTCTGTCAAAGTAGGCCTTACAAAGTACTGCCTGAAAGGGTGTCCAAATTTTTGCATTTGCCATATTTCTTACTTTGAATCTGTAAACAAATTGCACAGAAAAAGCAAGTGTGCATTTACATTTGCATGTGTTTAACATTGCACCATGTGGAAGCTGTGTCAGTTTCTACTCATTTAGGAGGAGTTCATTGAAACATACAGTTTGACTAGGGGTATCTAAACTTTTACATATGCTGTACTAATTACTTGAAAACTGCTTGTTATATTTTTCATATGCATGCTTGGTTTCTTTCTCTTTTCACTGTGATGTAAATTCCTGCCATGGAATATAGCATTCACTGTGGCATTTTTAATTACTTTCTTTTTAAACTCATTTAAAACCCACATGGAAGACATTCAGTTTGGGATATCTCATTATTAGTTACTGTAAAGGTTGCAGTAAAAGTCTACATTAGTAATTCCTCCATTCTGAGAAATGAAACAGTGTTTTTAATTCTTAAATTGATCAAACAGTTGCTATCTGAGAGACTGACTGTTGTAAGATGATATAATTGTGGGTGAAAGTGTTTAAGGCATTATTAAAATCAAGTTTCATTCCAGGGTAATAAAGGAATTTCATAGATTTGGGCATGAAGTTAACTGCTTATAGGTTTTACAGTATGAAATTCAATATCTTTCAGAGCTATAAGGTTAAATTATGAAAAAAATATAATTATGAATGCCAGCTGTTACGCCTACATGTTTAATTACTTTCTGTTACCCAAACCTGATAAATAATTTAATTAAAAATCTTCATTTTTTATGTAAAAGAATATAAGGAAAAGAACTAAAAAAAATTACAGCCTTGGATATGGAATTTATTTAAAAACTGGATAAGAGTATATGACTGAAGTATCTTGTAATTGAGAATGAGTCCAGAAAACTGTGTCCCATTGATCATCGAGCTAGATTTTAAAACACACTCATTTTTACTGTTTCTCAGACACAGTTTCTTCAGGTTTTGTGAATGAGTCTAGTAACTGACCCTTTCAAGTTAGGAAAAGATTTTGGAAAACCTGATTATAGATGTTTACATAGTAGTTTCAATGTAAACATCTATAATCAGTTTATTTAAATCTGTAAATAAACAGATTTTTATTAGGTGTACGCATAATTCATTGAGACTTGTAGTAGATCTTTATTATCCTCAAATCATGAATCCTATATTTATCACATATACATCTATGTGTAATTTATGATCTTCAGAGGTTCTGTAGGTTCCATCATCATGAAAAAGTAAGGATGATGAGTTTGTTCTGTGTAAGACTTCTTGTTATGAATTCTCTACATAAAAAAATCACATCAATTCCTTTTTTGCCTGGCTTTTCATAGGCTCTAAAGGCTGTTTTTAAAAGCCCAGATATGGTTTTAAATTTTTGTTTTGCTTTTTGCATGTTTTCATTCAATTTCTAATCTGAATATTTTTCTTTCTTTGAAACTGGCCTTAAAGATTTTCTGTTTGCATCTGTAAGTATTTGTTTTGATATTTAAAATCTATGGTCTATTCTGCTATAGAATAACGTTATAATAGTTTGAAAGTTCAAGCAGTACTTGTTTTAGTCAGAAAGAAGCACTGTGGGTCAGCTTCTTCTTACAAAGAATATTTTGTTCTTGAAGATCTTTCCAATGGCTGTTTGGCTGCATTCTTCTAGCATTATTTTCCTTTAGACAAGTAAAAATAGGAAGTGCTGCTTCTAGAAGTTGTTCTGAAACCACTGGATAAAATGAATTTGTTGCCTCTGTGACTGTTGGTATGGTGGGAATCTCACAACCTTCCAATATGTACTCTGTCAGGAATTCTGTGAAAATAAGACTTCTTTTAAATAGGCACTCCCAACAATTGTGTGTGGCTCTTTTTCTTTGTGCTCGTTGTCTTCCAACATGGGATGACTCAAGAACAAACTGATTCAAACTAATTTTTCCTTATTCAGAGCTGTGTTGCTAATTAGGAAAACCATCCTTACAGATAAGCCCAGAAAAGTTCTTGGCCCATGACAGTTGCTATTAACTTGCATTCTGTAGAAGAGAATAGCACTATAATTAGTCTGGAAGAGAAGAAATTGTTCAAGAGCTCTTTCTTCTGGAATATAAAATGATTTTTTGCCTTGTGCTAAAGGAGGTTAATTCCAAGTTGGGGAAAGGCACCCATAAAATGAGTGACGTACTTCCAACAAGTCAGGATAGACAGCAAATACTGAATGACATAGTTGGTGCAGGGTTCTGAATATGGTCAGGCATTAGACCTAGCACTGAGAACTGATAATTCAAATTGTACTTCTTCAGCTGTGTTCTCCATTGGGTGCTACTCTCTATTTCTTTCTCATTTTATACTCCATGTAATACAGAATATTAAATATAAGCCCCGAAGTGATTTTCTGGGGATGAGAAACATAAGATTTGTAGATGCACTTTAGGTACCCTTAGAATAAATCTTCTGTGCAATGGAATATATCAACCTTCTGAATCTGGATCCTCTGGTTGTCCATACTAGTTGACAGTTAGGGCCCTAGCATGTTTAGGGGACCCCAGGATAGAAGGAAGGCTGGTGCATGATGCACAGTGATTTTAGCTGTGCCCTTGGGTTGCCAAGTTCATTGAGTTGATAGGGAGGGAAGGAGTGCAAAAGGAGATGAAGCAAAGTATTAAAATACAGAGAAAGTAGGAGAGGCATTATCATGGCAGCTGAAGGCCACGTTTTTCTTTCTTTCTTTCTTTCTTTCTTTCTTTCTTT